ATATACAAATATAACACCAGAAGCGGGTCTAGAAGATGCTCACATCCAAATCAAAATTTCCTTCGCACAATCAGTAATTCAAAGGAGTCGTAAAATCGTAGTTGGGGGCACATAGAAAATCATTTCTCAATCGTAGTTCGAAGATGAGATACGATTTATCTTCGAAACGTTGCATTAACGAAATAATCGAATGCTTCGTATTTGAAGAATTGGTTGTTTGAGTAGCAAGTACTATTCACATCTTGCATCATCTCAGTATTAGGCATAATTTCGACTACTTCTTGCTCAACATCTGCTATGTGCAGGTATGATGTGTTTTCCAGTAGTTTTTCCTTCTTGTCTTTCTTTGTTTTCGATGTGAGCATTTTAGTCCCTAGAAACCAGTTCGAGATGATTCAAAACATAGAATGAGGAATGCTGTGCATTTAATTATGTGTCCCTATCTTCAAATAAATCTGTATTTACTTTCCATTTTTCCTTGCCTCACATTAACTATTGTTCATTATTTTGTTTACTCATACTTAATCTACCATGGTTTCACGTTTTGTTTTACCAAATGTATTTGTTTTTTTTACAACTTTTACATATTCGTCTTAGTTGTCTATATTTAAATATGAAGCACTTGATTTTACCTCCAAATTTATAAATGTTTTGTTCTTTTTCCTCTATTTACAGTTTTATACTTAATTGTTATACATTTTTATGGTTAAATTGCTTCTAGTCAACAGGAGAAACAACTGAACAACTTTGATGCTTTACAGGAGTAGCAAATAGTGGAGCTTCTAGTCCATTTTGACCTCAATTGGCCTGACCTAGAAGTCCCACTACATTCTGTCAACCCATGCTGCCTAGAACCCTCATTGTAGCTAAAATTTGAAGATTTTCTTGACGTTGGGCGCAGGAAACGCTGGAAATCACAGTAGAAAGCGTCACAAAGTGGTCCAGAATCCACATGACGCTGGGTCGGTCAACATAATGTAGTGGGACTTCAAGCCAGGTCAACTGAGGTCAAAGTGGGCTAGAAGCGCCGCTACATAACGAGTCGTAGGAAATAAAAAAGTCCAACGTATCGTTTGTCCAAGTTATATTTCTACAACTAAAAAATATATAATAATGTATACAATGTATCATTGGGAAGAATATTTCCGTTTTGAGCACATTTTTATATTGTGTTTAGCTACCGTGGCTCCCATTTTTTGCGTGCGGCGACTGCGATTAACGATGGCCCGCTCCCCAGGGCAAGTATTTTTCAATCTTAATTGAATCCCCATGTTTCAGTTAATGAGGAGTTCTAATTTTTATGAGCCTTTTTAGGCAAATTGAAAGCGTTTTCCGAGCGAAGACTTAAATAGGTAATGCTGCCGGTCTGCCGGACTCGGCTTTGTGCTTACCATTGAAAATTTCATAATCGCGCGTCTACTAAATATCACATTTTAGGCTAAATGGGTTGTGCTAAGCGGTGAAATACGCTGTGCATGTCGGCGAGATATTAATAAAGTACCAAAATTTACATGTAACTTTGTTACGTACGTGAGGGACGTGTACATTGTCGCATTCATTGCGAGATACAAGGAGGTAAAAACGCTTTTAATTAAGTGTACAGTTTTTGGACTGTGTCTACCTGTGGATCTGTGCGGGATTTTCTGCTTGTTGCCATGGAAAAATGATTGTTTTAGTGCTAATTGGAAATGTTCGGTTCGTGTTACGTTTTTGTACGGTTTGTGATGTTGCCGCTGGTGTTCGCTCCATATCATAAATCCGTGCATTAATTAGATAATGGCAATGTTACCGAAGGATGTAGGCTAATTAGCTGTGGCAAGCTCGAAGACAAGGGTCTTAGGGAATCTGATGGGATGGATATCTCTATGGGGATGAACTAGTGGACCTTGCGCTAATTTTTATTTTTTGTGGATTGATGGCGAGAAAATTGGTGGATGCGCCGGGATTGATTCCGAAAAACAAAGATCCAATTTCGCTTGGAGAGTTTGTGATAATTTAGTGTTATTTGAAATATCTACTAAAATAATCTCAAAACAAACACAGACAGCCCCTGTTTGCTTTGGTATATCGTGGAGCTTATGTTATTACGGAGTTAATTTTTACAGCTGCTACCTATTTTTTAGTTTGACGTATTATGTTTTGCTTGTGATTAAGAGATAACATCAATTCCACTCGAGTTCACTAATCAACATACAAATCTCTTTAAATCCAACCATCTGTTTTCGCTCTTTTCGTCGTCTTTACATCATCTAATTAAATTAGAGTGTGACAGTGTTGGGCGCGATCTCTCTGATGAAGCTACATTCAAGGATTAAATTCGTTTAGAATTGGAATAAAAAAAAAAGTGAAAAGGCGACTATTCTCCTATACAATTCGGAGTCGTCATATTCATAACGAGTTTGAGTTGAATAGAGAGCTTTTGATCTTTGATAGGTACTTGGCTATTATTTTATAAAAGGTAATTTTAGACTCGGAACTTCTCCACTATACTAGTTTGATCCTGCAAAGTGGACTTTATAGAGATCAACATAGTAGAGGTTTAACGAAGCAACTTACCTGAACTAACTGCAGCTAAAGTTCATTTATTTTCATGTGCAGCTCGTTATTAATTATGTAGCGTATATTTTACGAGCGAATTTCCAATCGACTTGTATGAACTTTTTTCGTTCCGTAAAGTTGGCTTGTTTGATAATCCACCATTATTCGCTGAAATCGTGATTAGAATATTAATTCAAGCTGACCAGCCGTTTCCCATTAGATATTAAGCTTTTGTGTCCCATCTGGCTCCTCCTACCTCTACCTATGCTGCAAAACCTTTCCGTTTGTACAGCTCGCGCCCACTTAAATATTTACTTTCGCGAAGTTGGCACTACTTAAAATAATCCGTCGGAAGCAAAGCAAAATAATCGTCTTTTAATCCTTTGCGCATTTCTCCAGGTAGATTGTTAAATATGAAACATCTGAAAGTTGGGATTCGCTCTGCCGGTGTGCTCACGGGTTTAACAAGAAACTGCCGCGGTTATGTACCTGGCAAACTTTATTATTGTTTTTGCTGGTTTATTAATGCGATACAGTTTATGGACGGGCTATCAAGCAAGTTTTGATACGACTTGAGGGTGGGTTTTGTCGTCGGCAATTAAAAAATGGCGCTCGTAAAGTGCCAGAATGGTGGATGCGCCGGTTATCGCCACCATCATCATGGAGGTGGGATTATTGTTTTCCATTATTGATAAAATGGCGGAATTGGACGGTTCGTGTGGCAGATTACGCCGGTTACTGTTCAAATTAACATAATGGTCTTACTAAAATCGGATCGTTAGGGCGGACCTGCGGCATCTACCATTAATGCGAAATAATGCATCAAATGGATAATGGTGTATTTCCGTGAATTTTAACTGCAGGGTGTTCCATTTTGTTCTGCTTATGCGGGTTTTGATGGTTATGTGTGGGGAGGACTAGGTGCTTTGTGATGTTGGTGATGAATGGCGGAGGAGGAGGGGGATACACTGTGAGGGGTCCTCAACAAGTCACTAAACAAAATTAGAGATATCTATACGTTATTGATAAGAGTCGTAAGGCTTAGAGGTGTACGTTTCAAAATCACCCTGTATTCATGTACGTAATAAGTAAAATTAACACGTGAACTGGTGTCTGTACGTATTTTACTTATTAACGCTTTTGTAGAAAGAACTAACCATAAAATTCTTTTAAAAATGAACTTGCAAGCAGTTCAGTTTTATTAAATTATAGACCTTATAAGAACGAAGCTTTCCTTGGCGATTTCTCGCCTTTGTTTTCTTGTGGCTTGCTTACTTTTATAAAAGACGTCCACTTTATAAAGATATTTGACGCGATTTTCGCTCTAAACGAATGAATTAAATTTTAAAAATAAATGGTGGATGCGCCGGGATAGTGAAGCTAGTTTTTCAACACGATTTAATTACACAGTCAGCGAAAACTCGTCAGTGCCGTGAAAATAGGGTGTTTAGTGTCGCGTTTATTAACATTTTGCAGAAACCACTAATCCATAAAGTTCTTCTAAAAAATGAACTGGGAAGCACTTCAGTTTTATTAAATTGTAAACCTTATAAGAAGGAAGCTTCCTTTTGCGATTTCTCGTCTTTGTTTTCCTGTGGCGTGGTTCCTTTCTATAGAAGACGTCCAATTTATGAAGAGATTTGACGCGATTTTCGCTCTAAGTGAATTTAATTATTGAAAAATAAATGGTGGATGCGTCGGGATAGCAGTGACTGGCATCAACGACTAATTCCATAGTCAGCGAAAAATTATTGATGCCATGAAAATAGGAAGTATAACGCGCGAAAAGAGTATCCCGTTAAAAAAAGTAATAATAATAATTGACTTTTTGAGAAGTGAAATAGTTGAACAAGAAATTTCTGCCGGCGTTAAGTTCAGCATACAATGAAGTGTTAATGAGTGAGTTTTATTTGGTTATTTGTTGTAACAAGTGTCGAGACCACAATTACATGACGTAATATCTGTGCGCTAAATACCTCACATTAATTTGGTGCTGTGAATTTGTTAAAGCCTGATCGATAATAGTTTTTGTAATGTATAACAATATGTATTTAATATGAAATAGTTGGAAAATAAATTCTAATTAAATTACATCGTCTGTAAGTTTTCCTCCCCGGTCCCACTCCTTATAAATAAATCCCGGTGTTTGTGCCCCAGTTCTCCGCCACTGTAAATATTGTATAAAGTCTCCGCGAGTGCACGACTCTGCTTCGACGATTTGATTGTTATTTCTCTTCTATTCTGCACTTTCTTTGACACGTTTTCAGCATTGCACTACGAACCGCTTTTTTCTGAACACAGAATACACGGACCCAACAAGCGCACCAAAACTCTTTCCAAAACCACATGCAGCTAAGTAATCTCTTCCTGTATGTACATATAATTTAAACATTCTTTTAATTTTCTTTCTCTTTTCTTTCTAGGGGGTTGAATGTACTAAGACGTCTAAAGGTGAGTGTCTGCCCTCTTAGCACTGCATGCCGTAGCTTTCGCTCGTTCAGACCGTTGCGTCCGCGGCCTTAGCGCATTCCGGATTAATTACAATTACGCCGGTCCGGGCCTGGCTTGCGCCAGACATGTTGTAATAATGAGGGCGGCTTTGGCCGGCCGACGCGCGATTGTGGCCCTTGGGCGCCCCGACGCAAGAAACCGTCGGATTTTCCGCTCTTTAATTATTCAAAGCAGTAATAATGTTGGTATGAATAATAAGCCAGGCGTATATGGCCGTGAGGTTGGCAATACATAATAAATGCGGCGGGTGTTTAATTATTAGCAGGGAAACTGGCGAATTCCGTGCGCCGCAACGGTCTGACCTTTCTCTCTTCTTTTCCCTTTTCGCCCTTCTCGGAAAGCGCCAGCTTTTTCCACGTCGTCGTAAGCTCGCACCGACACAGACGTCTTTATTGTTGCGCCGGCCTTCTTTTGTTTTCGGGGTTTTGCTTTTTATTATTTCGCTTGATTAAATGCGGCATGGCCGACTTTCGGGCTTTATTGGGGAAGACGTTTTTTTATTTACACATGCACGGAGGGTCATAGAAGAGGAATTCAAAGGATGCTGAGAATGGGAAGGGCGATGGGTCAGGGTTAATGAGGGACGAAAGGGAACTGGTTGAAGAATTAAAATGGAACGAATAGTTCGTGTTTGTATGTACATTAAAGTAAGTAATCACTTTTTTCCACATGATTTTAAATTAGACGCCTTAAAGGTGTTCATAAAATTGCTAAATATTCTTTTCACAGTTTTTGAAACGACGCCGCCTGGTCACACCCTGACGCGCTACACAAAACTAAGCTGTTAATCGGTACCTGAAGGTCATTTACGTAGAAATATTTTCCTGATTAAAATATTTGTACAATAAATACAAGTAAATAGATTTATTACAATGTTATATTCCATCACTGTCTAGGTGTTCCAAAGATCTACAAGTTTTTCAGCTCTCGCTTTTTATTTCTCGTAAGCTAGGATGCTTTCGAGGCAAATTTCATATTTTGTCGACGTTTCGTGGTCCCTAGAATATGAAACAGTTGCTCTTCCGTTTCCGCCTGTTTGTTATATTTGTTGCCGACTTTATTAGGCAGATGATCTCTAAAACGGTAACTAAAATCGGCCTAATGATCCTAGTCAAAAATTTGATGACGTCATTTATTTTACAGCTTCACGAATTTTTCCGAAATTTTGAGTACCTATACATAACACTTTTATGATTAGTGTATAGTACGATGTATGTGTCGAAGTTCATATTTTTACCCTCAATCTATTATTTGAGAGCATGTACTAGATGCTACCTAAAAAACAATAAAATGTGGTCGAAGTAAATATATAAATTGAATCCATCGGGCGACTAGTCAGTTTCATCTTTTCTCGACGTTTCATGACCCGTAAAGTACGAAAATCTCCGAAACAACTCGACCAATTGTTTTCAAATTTTGTATTTGTATTAGAAATATCATGTAGATGGTTAAATGCCAACCAAAATTTGGCTAATCATCCCCACCAAAAGTTTGATGACGTCACCTCAAAGAAGTCTGTTGTAAAATGATTTAAATATTACTCAACAATATACTCCTATACCGAGTGTCTGGAAAATGGCGGATCAACTCTTCAGAACATTATGTACGGGAGTTTCGGGAGTTCCAAAAAAATTATAAAGAAATTCTTGATGTAGATTACGAAGAAAACGTAATTTTATAAAAGTAAAATTGGCAACACTGCACGCGTGAATACCTGCGGCTTACTTTCTGATTTCTTAGTAACGATAGTAACTGAAATCCACCTTTTTTTACTTCCCAGGCGTAAGCAAAGCAAGTATTGTAATCGAGTCCGTCGGTCGACTGTCTATTTTTACGTTTTTTTGATCTTTCATGACCTCAAGAAGACGAAGAAATGGTAAAACGCTAACCAAAATTTGTCTAATCATCCCCACCACTAATGCGATGACGTCACTTCAAAATTGTACATAGTAAATGGGTTTTAAATTGTATAAAATAACATAGTCCTACACATGTAGTTTACGACTCCGAATTGAGTTTTTACCCCAAACGTCCAGATTTTTGGGAAAAAAATCAAAATTAAAAAACAACATTTTGCAATTTAATTTTGAATCTGCTAATCCGAATGTTTTGAAATGTTGCAGATGTTTTAAGGCTATAAAGAGCATCATAATTTTTAGTCAAAATATATTTGGTTATCCCCTCCAAAAACTTGATGACGTCAGCTCAAAAGTTTTCCGAATAAATCCTATCTAAAATGTACAAAATATGATGAGTCTGTACTTGTGGTATATCACTCCGTTCATATTTTTTGGATTTGCATAAACAGGGTGACTCAAAAAAATTAATGAATGCGTAAATTTATTTTATTGAGTTAATCAGGAACTACAAAACCCCATGCTTTGAAATCATGAAGATGTTTTAAAGTTATCATAAGCATGGTAAGTTTTTAGTCAAAATGTATTTGCTCATCCCCCTAAAAAATTTATGACGTCACCACAAAATTGTGCTGAATAAATCCTGTCTAAAATGTACAACATATGATGAGTCTCTTCTTGTGATTAATCATTCCATTCATATTTTTTGAATTTGCATATACAGGTGACCCAAAAAAATAAATGAATGCGTAAATGTATTTTATTGATTTAATCAGGAACTACAGAACCGAATGTTTTGAAATCTTGCAAATGTTTTAAGGTTATAAAGAGCATAATAAATTTTTAGTCAAAATATATTTGGTTATCTTCTCCAAAAAACTGATGACATCAGCTCAAAAGTTTGCCGAATAAATTCTATCTAGAACATACAAAATATGATGAGTCTGTACTTGTAATTTATAATTCCATTCATATTTTTTGAATTTGGATATACCGGGTGACTCAAAAAAAAAATGAATGCGTAAATTTATTTTATTGGTGTACTCAGGAACCACAGAACCGAATGCTTTGAACTCTACTGCGAAAAAAAAATATAATAGACATGCAATCGTCACGCTTCCGACAGCGAGGGAAGTACTGTCTAAACTCTTTAGACCAATTTTTTTAACAAGCAGTAGTCATTAATCGTTAACAATTGTTATACAATTGTTATTTTATATTAATAAGTCACCAAAAAAACATTTAATCAGACATTTATAAATTATAAACAAAAGCAAAACCAACAAAAGAAAAATCCATTAAAGCATAACCAACTAAACACTAGATAAGATGCTGAAAATTCCTGCCTTGGCATATAAGTAAGCTTAAGCTCGTAATGTTTCCAAGTTTTCATCAATTTTTTTAAAAGTTAGTCATCAGTACTGCTAAGATAAAACTGAATTTGGCATATCACATATCCTCTAAGAAAACAGAGGGTGGGTGGGCGGGCAGGGCTAGTAGCAGTTAAGATAAGACTGATTTTGGCAAATGAGATACTCTCTAAGAAAAGAGAGGGGGTGGGAGGAGCTAGTTGCTACTAAAAGATGATTTTGGCAAATGACGTGCTCTCTAAGAAAAGAGAGGGTGGGTGGTTGGCCGGGGCCATGGTACAAGAAGATATGGTTATGATGTTGTGCGTTTTGTGTGACGTCATGACCGCTAACTTTAAATTCTGGCTTGTTGTATGTTCGTATTATCACTATCAACGAACGATCCCAAATTTTGAACACATGGTATTGGCGTCACATGTCAACTTAGCACCTTCGAAGATAAGTTAACCGCTAAATAAACACTCAACTGGACCGAATCTCAACCTCCGTTATAATTTTATCTTAACAGCTGGTAGCCCCACCCACCCACCCTCTCTTTTCTTAGACGGTATCTCACTAGCCAAAAATCATTCTTATCTTACTAGCTACTAGAACCGCCCACCCACCCTCTCTTTTCTTAGAGGATATGTATTTTACCAAAATTAGTTTTATCTTATCAACTACTAGCGCCACCCACCCACCCTTTCTTTTCTTAGAGAGTATGTCATTTAGGAAAATCGGTCTTATTGTAGTGACTAAGCTGCCAAGATACGGCTGCTTTTGGGAAATGACATACCCTTTTAAAGAAGAGAGGGCGGGTGGGAGGGGCTAGTACCTGCTAAGATAAAACTGATTTTGGCAAATTACTTACCCTATAAGAAAAGAGAGGGTGGGTGGGCGGAGCTAGTACCTAGTAACATACGACTGATTTTGGATAAGGAGATACCCTTTAACAAAAGAGAGGGTGGATGGGCGGGGCTAGTACCTGCTAAGATAAGACCGATTTTAGCAAATGACGTATCCTGTAAGAGATTTAAATAAGTTATTATAAGAAAAGACACCAGAGGCTCTAAAGCACTTACAAATTCTTTCCCAACAGGAATACCTATTAATCTCAAGATTGTTTTAAATAAAAAAAAAACTAGATCTCAAAATGAACTCAAAAACAGGTCAGGTCCGAATTTTCCAAAAATAGAACACCAAAGCCCCCCAAAATTGTTTTAAATAATTTATAAAAAAATCTCCATGGGCTCCCAAAATAATACACCATGAATTATAATATTCAGAACATTTTGTTCGACTGTGGCTTAATTAATAATTTTAGTTCTGTGTTTTGAGGAGATAAACTCATTCAATCAAACTAATTTCTGCGTGACATTCTTTCAATGTATAAACATGGCCACTTGAACTTAAGGTTCTTGTTAGTGCTGAGAGGACATTTTTTCTCGTTGGTTATCTGTTTTAAATATATTTTACATTGTCCATACTAGGGGAGCGCCAAATTCTTATAACAAACACGAAATTACAAAATCAAATTTTATAATTTTTTTAAAGAAGCGGGATTTGTCAGATTATAGCTCAAGGGCGAGGGAAATTGTGTTGAAATAACCTTCAACCAATTTTTTGCAATCAGTTCAAGACCACACCTATTAGATTTAAATTCACTGTTCATGCTTAGTCATAAATTCACGAGAGTTCTCCAAATAAGTATGATGTCTTTCGTCTGAATGTAATAAGAAAAATATTTTGTAGAAATAAAACTTATCAAAATATAAATTTAATGACCCGTCTCTTTTTCGTCGAATTCGGTGGCGCAGAGAAAATGACATCATCGTAGGTGTGTTGTGCAATATTTTGGACGGCAGGTGGTCTGGAGCAGATTGTAAATTTTTTAAATTTAAATCTTAATGGTTTTAACACATTGCTGGCTTTTAGTAGTTCTACAAAAAATTAGTCATCATTGTTTGTTAAACGGATTGCAGTGCTTATTTTCAAGAAAATTTATTACTACGGCATACTTATTAATCCAGGAATTTCACAAAGGTTTGTTTTTGGTCTACTTTTATTTCATCTATATGAAAAAATGTGTATGTAAAATTTTGTTGAGTTGTTCTTTCGTGTTCTGTATGGAACAAAACCGTCTGCAACGCCAAAATTTGTTCAATAACTGCATTTCAACAAATATCGTTGGAAAGAATGGGAAGGTCGTGAATAGTAGTAGTAGTTGAGATTGTGGAATACAGCGAGGAAGCAACTACACATAGGTCAAAAAAACTAATTTTAAGGTGATTTTCGTGCTATCAAGGTGTTTCACTCCAAAAAAATTTAATTGCCCGAAATCTGATTGCTCACTTTTTAGAACCTTTTATTTGCAGAAGTTATAATGCTGATGTCATAATGTTTATCCACTTTGTCAAGATCTAAAGTAACCATTACTCATTAACGTAGATTAAATTTCAACTTTTTTAATTTGCATACGTGATGGAATAGTTCGCGTTGTTATATAACTTGATGTTCGATTGAATTAATTAAATTCAGCAAATACTGCTAGCCACCCAACAATTGGCGAAATGTGTGACTATTGTTTCATATTAAATTAAATTTCAATGTGCCACTAACTAAATATGCAGATGTGCTTTGGGCATTTCGTGTGCATAAATCC